CCTTATTCAAGATACACTCCTTCTGGTCATCTTTTTGGGACCGACATGTCTTCTCTCTCTTTGTAGGAAACCATGAAACCACAGAAACCATACCCAGTAAGTACGGTCATTTCTGTCTAACCTCTGCTGCCTCTCCCCCTGCTCTCTCAGCTGCCATTCTGGGGGCTGCTCAGGGCATGATGCTCACCCTTTAAGTCCGCCACTGTGCCCCCTCTGAGGGGATGTGTCCCAACACAAGGGAGGCTGAACCTGTCTCTGGCTCCTCTCACCCTGTCTCTGAAAAATTTTACTCCTCTTCAGATGTTCACTCTCCATCAGAGGCCTCCGGTCTCTGTGTAGGACCCTCCTGTTCTCCCAGACCGGGGCCTGCTTCATGGCTGAGCTCAGCATGGAATGGCTTCTATTGCCTGTTCCCAAGCTGCCCTCCTGTGAGGCTGCCTGCTCTCTCTTGCCCCCTTCCCACCCTTTCTGACCCCCACCCTCACTTCCTCCTCACTGCCCAGCTTCCTGTCACGTGGCTCCTGGCTGCCCTGTCCCATGCATTCTGCACAATACAGCCAGAGTCACCTGTGTGCAAAGCAGAGGTCAACCTGACCTCGTCACTCTCTGAGTGTTTCTCCGTGGTCTTCTGAGGGAAAACCCCTACTCCATAGTCAGGCCTTTGAACCAGTCCATTCCGGTTCGACCCCCTGCTGAAAATTTGCGTTGCCACCCCAGCTCCAGATGGCCTGACCCAGAACCTGCATTTTAGCAGGATCTCCGATGATTGTTGTAGATCTTGTGACAGATCCCGTTAAATGCAGGTTCTGGGCCAGTCCATCTGGAGCTGGGGTGGAAGTGAGACTTCTCAGTCGGGGGTTGAACCAGAACAAACTGGTTCAGAGCCCTGTCGCTAACACAATTCCACTCCGTGTCGCAGAGCTCCCTCTCCCCTTCCCCTCCCTGCTCCGTCCATACCTGTGCCAGGTGCCCTGCTGCCCTGGTCCCTTTGCACACGCTCTTTCCTCAGCCTGGAATACTGGAACACCCGTCTACCTTTCTGCCAGACCCTCCTTGGTCACCTAACCCCCACTCCCCTCCTCGTCTGAGCTCTTCTTACCTGCTTCCCTCCACGGGCCCCATCACGCTGCACGGACCTGCCTCTCTGGTCCTCTCTGCAGGCTGTGAGCCTCCCGTAGCCCAGCGGGCATAGTGCCTGGCACACAGCCAGCAAGCACTCACCAGTTGCATCCGATGGATGATGAAAAACTGATCATTACTTTTAACAGACTTTCTTTTATATTGTTTTAAAGACATATATAACATATCATTTACCAATTCAAGATTTTTCACGATTCAGTTACAGTAACGACATGCAACCATTGCCAATATCCATTTAGACTTTATTTTCCAAAGCGGTTTTAGGTCGGTCAAACACTTGCTCAGGAAGCACAGAGAATTCCTACAGACTGGTCTCACGCCTGAACAAAATGTGTCCCATTCACGTCCTGCGTTTCCAGTGGTGCATCCGTCACAGTGACGAACCACTGCCGATGCCTCCTGGGTAGCGCACGTCCGCGATTCACATGAGGGTTCGCGCTCTGCTGATTCCCGTTTCTTATCTTTGTCCACAGCTCCCGTTTACAACAGCAGCCGCCCAACCAGTAAGTTGCGATCCCTTCTGAGTGTGTGGCCAACATCCCCGGAAATGCTCTTTCCCTCGGTGACGGTGACACTGTGGAGGGACAGTGAGAATGCTGGGGGGTAGCCTCCCCTATGGAAGGGGGTCCCCCTCATCCCATGCCACCCCCTTTTAAGAGATCGTGTGAGGTCCCAGACAGGCCTCTCTCATTTCTGTTGGGGTTCTGTCTTCGAAATTGTTTACAGAAACGTCCCCAGGGGACTTGCAGCTTGACTTAGCGGCAATTTGATTTTGTTCTAACAGCAAATTATTCCTGCGGAGGCTTCCTATCCCAAAGCTCTGGACAGTTTTCTAGCCCCTTCTATCCCGAAAACTATCCGAACAATGCCAGGTGTGTCTGGGACATTGAAGTCCAGAACAACTACCGTGTGACCGTCATCTTCAGAGATGTCCAGTAAGTGTGCCAGGGCAGAAAGCAGAGGGACCACTTAGGCATTTGAAAAGGGAATAAGTGGTCATTAGAATGTCACAAGAGATGTCTGTCAGTTGGCGTTTTTTATTATGGGTTCAATTTTAGCCTAGCACAGGGACAATCCATGGGGTAGGGTAGGGACAGGAGCCCTGGAGGGAACAAAAGCCCTGGTTTCAAGTCCCAACTCTGTCACTAATTTGAGGTGTGGTCACAGGAAGTCACTCCCTAGAGTAGGTGGGTCCGTCGCCTTGGGATAGGTGTTCTGTGTGTAGGTCTTTCTGCTGTTGGGCTGAGAGCCAATCCATACGGGGCCCAGTTCTACTCTGACTACATGGGGTTGCTGTGAGTTGGAATCAACTCAACAGTGACTGGTTCCCCCCAATACACACACACACAGTTAATTATTCCATTTGATTCTTTGATTCTCGCAATAGCCAAGGCATGAATGGGTCACTTAGCCTTTGTAAATACCTGAGTTTTGGAGAAGTTCAGTGCATTGCCTACACCAATTCGTTCCATTCTTTCCATCACTAGGGACTCATGCGTTTTAGGCAGTGTATGTTCCCTTCCTCTCAAGGGGTACTGTATTTTTAAACGAATAACACATGCCTTCTACCTCTCCCCCCGACCCCCAGGTATTTTGTAAATGCACTATGCTTTTTTTTTAACAGCAAAATGTAAAAAAAAAAAAAGGCATAGCAACACTTACAAAAATGCCTCCAGTAAGGAGGGAGTGATTGGCAAACAACATAGAAGACACGTGTGATTGTTATTCACACAAAAGTTCAGTAGAGGGCTGTCAGGAGAGAGGATGTCCAATTCATATGTGTGACCCCAAAGGCAGGGCCAGAAACCATGTGTGCAGGTCACGGAAATGAAACCCCACTCAATGTGAGCCTGTCTATTACCTGGGTGGTGCAAATGGTGCAGTGCCCAGCTACTAACCAAAGGTTGGAAGTTTGAATCTAGCCAGCAGTGCCTTGGACAAGAAACCTGGCAATATCCTTCTGAAAGGTCCCAGCCACTGAAAACCCCATGGGGTTGGGGCTTTACTCTGACACAGGTGGTCGCCATAAATCAGAACCGACTCAATGGCAGCTGGTTTGGTTTTTTGGGGTTTATTACCTTCATTTGTTCACTTACCAACTTTGCCAGGGAAGGTGGGCCCCCTCCTTGAGGCCTGACCCTCAGCTCCACTGCTGGTGTCCCCGCAGGCTGGAAGGTGGCTGCCGCTATGACTACATCGAAGTCTTTGACGGCCCCTACCACAGCTCCCCGCTCATCGCCCGGGTTTGTGACGGCAGCGGCTCCTTCACTTCCTCTTCGAACTTCATGTCTGTCCGCTTTGTCAGTGACGGCAGCGTCACGAGGAGAGGCTTCCGGGCCGAGTATTACTCGAGCCCCTCCGACGACAGCACCAGTGAGTCGCCCTGTGCTGGAGCTTGGCAGCGCGGGCCAGGTCACTGACAGCCTGTGCTGCCTGGCCGGCTGGGCGTTGAAAAGGAAGGAGCTCAAAGGGGCCATCAGCAGTGGGGCTTGGAATCTGGCTGTCCAGAAACCAGGTCAAGAGCCACAAAGGGCTGACGGTGGTCTGTTGGGTCACCGTGTGAGCAGACACTAAGTAGAAGGTGTGAGGTGATGTTTTCAGCAACAGGAAAAAATATTTTGCAATGTGTGGCACTCACAGGACTCTGTCTGCAGTTGGCCAGCGGAGGAGGGGCAGACTGGAGAACTGGCAATTGTTTCGGAGGACTGTCAGGGATCTGTGTGACTCGTTACTTCTCACGGTTGGCTTCCTTTCACAGAAACAGACGAGGATGGCAGCAGCCCTGTTTACTCTGGGCTAGTCAGAGCCACCCAGCCCTTGTTCCCTCATGGCAGCTCCGTTACCAGACACACTGGCTGCAACATGCTCGCAGGAAGGGCATGTAGCTGAGAGATGAGGGAAAGGGGTGAAGGACGCTTACTCTGGAGGGAGGAGGGCTCAGGAGAGACAAAGAGGGAGACAGAGAGGGAAGGAGGGAGGGGGAGAGGGGAGGGCAGAAGGGAGGGATGAGGAGGAGCGCGTGGGGCCCCTCTCCTGTATATGGAAAGGGAGCAGCAGGTGTGAGCCATATAGACGTCACTCAGGGTCGTGGAAGGAACATGGAGCTTGGGTCACACAGCTTTGGGTCAAATCCTGACAGTGCCTGCGATGGGTTACTACTGTCTCTGAGCCTCAGTTTCCCTATTAGCTGGCAGGGCTGCTGGGGGACTCAGTGAGAAGTGGATGAGATCTGTGGTAACCTTCCTCCTGGTTCCGAGCACACAGAGCAAGGACCTGTGTGTAGAAATTGCATTTGAACCCTTCAAAGCTGTCTGAGGAAGGGCAGAGCTGGCCACTCAGACCATTTAGCAGAGGCTGCGTGGTCACGTTCTGAGTTGTTCCAGGGCCTGACTCACAGACTGGCTGAAGCCTGGGTGATGGCCGAGGTCTTGTGCACAGGCAGCTTTTCACTGACTTCCCCCAGAGCTGCCTGACTCCCTGGCATGCCCACAGTCCCACTGCAGTGTTTCTTCCCTTAACGGATACCTGTAACTTGACAAGACATTCCCCTTATTTTACACCTGGCTCCATGCCTCCTCAGAAAAGCCTGAGTCCTTGGGGTCTCGTGAAGATGGGGCTGACTTGAGCCATCGGGCACCTCAGGGTTGTGTGTGGGTCTGCCTGATGGTGGCCATGTTTGTCAGCCATCGTCATCTGCCCACCTCTCTATAGGAAGAGCACCAGCAGGACTTACTGATGCTCAGGCGCTGAGTGCGTTGTCTGTCCTTGTCCTTCAGAGCTGCTGTGTCTCCCCAGCCACATGCAAGCCAGTGTGAGCAGGAGCTACCTCCAATCCCTGGGCTATTCGCCTCAGGATCTCGTCATCCCGGGCTGGACTGGGCGCCAGTGTCAACCCCAGATAACAGCAAGCCAGGTGATATTCACAATCCCCTACTCGAGCTGCGGCACCACCAAACAGGTAAGCCTGGGGCTTTCTGTTCTTGTTCCTACTGAGAGAGTTTCCTTACTGTAATAGGTGGCTTGTGTCTTGAATTCTGGGGACTCAGGAGATGGGATTATAGTATCATCAGAAGGTAATGAGTGGAAACCCATTACATGGAGTTGACTCTGACTCATAGTGACCCTATAGAGCAGAGTTGAACTTTATGGAAGCAGACTACCTCATCTTTCTCCCATGGAGCAGCTGGTGGGTTTGAACCACTGACCTTCCACTTAGGAGGTGAGTGGTTAACCACTGCGCCACGAGAGCACCTAATGAACACAAAGCAAGCTGTAGATCTGTTCTTTGGTGCCACAGCCTGGCTGAGGAGGACGAGGGTCTCTGTCCAAATCAGGAGGAAGGGAGCTCTGCAGACCAGGTTTCTGTAGGACTGCTCAGCCAAGAGTGAGCTGAGCAGGCGCCGTGCACCTCAGCAATCCTGACAGCAGCCCCAGGGGAAGCAAGGAGATCCCTAGAGATCTTACCTGTGTAATTTTTACACAAGTTGAATGCCTCAAGGGCAGGGCCAATGCCTTATTCATCTTTGTGATCCTACACTGTCCCTGGTACAATAATGGGATAAATAATACAATTATTGACACCTAATGTTGTACACAAGGAGCTCTGGTGGTGTGGTGCCTAAGGCATTGACTGATAACCAGAAGGTTGGTGGTTCAAACCCACTAGCCACTCTGTGGAAGGAAGGTGGGGGCATCTACTTCCATAAAGATTTACCACCTCAGAAACCCAAAAGGGGCCACTACGAGTCAGAATCGACTCAATGGCAGTGGGTTTAGTTTTTTTTTTTTTTTTTTTTTAATGTTGTACATAAGAAGCTCCAGTAGTATAGTAGGTAAGGCATTTGGCTACCAACAGAAGGTCAGTGGTGCAAATACACCAGCTGTTCGCCTGACTTGCAGGCCAGATGACCATGACCATAGAGCTTGCAGGGCCTTGTTTGCCTGTGTCTTCTTGGCCAGTTGGACCAAATGCTCCCTGACCTGTGCTCTATCCTCCATCATGACAGTGTTTTGCTGGGCCCCCAGGCCCTGTACCTTTCACTCATCCCACTGACAGTGATGTCGTAATTTCCAGCCTCTTTGCCGAGCCATGGACAAAGAGAGATGTTTAGACACCATCTTCCCATGAGACATTCATAGGCCACCAGGAGGGAGGTCTCATCTCTGGAAAGGCCACATTATATGGCATGAAAGACCTATGTTCTTAATAATTGGGTGCTCAAAAAAAGACCAGGTTTGGTGGTCTGATAGGACCTGGTGAGATCCCTGAGACTATGGCCTGTAGTTACTCTTCAGGACTGGAACTGAACTCACCCCTTTCCACCTGAACAATAGACAGGCATATGGGGTGAACATTTACATCAGGTAGATACACTCCTTGGAGCCATCAATCATGGGAGAACAGAAGGGCAGTGTTTGTACTGGGAGATAGCTCGGGGGACAGGAGTTCATAGGAGGGAAGGACACAACTACAGGGAGGAGATGGGAAGAGAGCTGTTACATTGTGGAGAATTGCAGTCAATGTCATGAAACAAAATGTGTATGAAGTGCTGTATGGAAAATGAATCTGCTCTGTAAACTTTTACCCAAATCACAATAGAAAGTTAAAAAAAAAAAAAAAAAAATTGGCTGCTCAGTTAAAGGCACAGGAAGAAATGGCCCCATGGCAAAAGGGGTAAAAGGGGTGGGGCAGGATGCTCCAATATTGCCACGGCTCACCCAGTGTCCATCTGAGTCTCTGAGAAGTCCCTACCCTGGAGGTCAGGGGCAGGCAACAGTTGTAACTCCTGCAGCTTCAGACACCAAGCTGCAGCAGATCCCAATCAAATAACATACAATGAGCACTGACTTCACCAAGCCCCCCTCTCACAAGTATGGGACTGCCTCCCACTGGGCTCCCCCAGAACCTCTCAACAGCACTGAGAATGAACCAGAACAAGCAAAAGAAGCCCTGAGCCATGGAGTCAAACTCAGTTTAGTCACAAAGCAGGACAGGGGTTATCCAGATCCACCCACACCTTGCCACCAAGAGGAGCACCCAGGACACCCCAACATCTGATCCACACCATGGTCTCCCATCGTAGAGCAGAGGAAGTGATACATGTAAAGGAGAGAGTCTTTCAGTTAGGCTGGATGTTTGGCCTGGCTATGACAGTAGGCATGTGCCATCTTTGTTGGAGCTAGGAGGGTTTGGGGAGTGTCATTGGGCCCCTTTCCTCTCGTTTGTACCCACATCAGCAATGTGATTCCTTAGCAAGTGGCATTCGCCTGACTCCACTCTCCTGCCTTCGTCTCCTAGGTAGACAATGATACCATCTCCTACTCCAACTTCCTGAAAGCAACCACGCCAAGTGGCATCATCAAAAGGAAGAAGGACCTGCACATTCATGTCATCTGCAGAATGCTGAAGGACACCTGGGTTGACACAATGTACATTGCTAATGACACCATTGAGGTCAAGGAAATCCAATATGGCAATTTCGACGTGAACATCTCCTTTTATACATCCCCTTCATTCTCCTATCCTGTGACGAGCTCCCCATACTATGTGGACTTGAACCAGGATTTATACCTTCAGGCAGAAATCCATCATTCTGATTCCTCCCTGGCCTTGTTTGTGGACACCTGTGTGGCATCGCCATATCCCAATGACTTTACATCTCTGACTTATGACCTAATCAGGAGTGGGTAAGGAATGTTCTTATGGAGTGGACTTAGATCTTTACCCAGTGACTCAAACTTGAGTAGACTTGGGGCTTGAGGGCTGGGGATTCTAGTTAATTGAACTGCCCAGCAGCCCAGTCTTAGCCAGATGCCCTTTCACCAAAGTAACACGCTATGGCTCTCACCTTTTGAAGCTCTTTTGTGCTCTGTTCTGACCACATCCCTGATTACAAGGGCTTCATCTCTGATTAATGAAGAGGGAAACAAGTATCTGGGGAATTGAAGGACTCCCCTCACACACACTCCAGTGGTCACCAGCAGATTAGCTAAAAAACTGGGATTAGATCCCAAGTGACCAAACCCCAGCCATGCCTTATGTTAAAAAGCTGTGTGTGGAGTGGAAAAAGCACTGGTGATGGAGTTGAGCAGACCAAGATTGAAAGGCCAGCTTGGCCACATACTAGCTGCATGACTCTGAGCCATAGTATTGTCACCTATCAAGTGGGGTCATCATGCCCACATCATAAAGTTGTTGGGAGAATGAAGGAGTAGATGCCCCTCACCCCAGCACAGCATGCACAGCAGGTGGTCTTCAAGGAATGTTCTATCACAAGTGGTAGGAGGTCATCTGGGCTTCCATTGGCCCAAGGAAAGTGATTCTCAGACTCTGTGGTTCCCATCAAGCTCAGAAGGCATGGAGGTGAGGCAGTAGTGCCCAGGAGGGGCTCAGTGGCATCCAGGCTAGGCTGCACTACCACAGGCCAGCTTCCTTGGATGACAGAACTCTGCTTAGGTGACCACTGACTCTTCTGAATTCATGAAGGGGTCCTAAGAACCCAAGGGGAGTAACTGCTGATCCTCACTCTCTGGTCTCTATGCTGGCACGTAGACCTTGTCTTGGCTTATACTAGACCTCAGCCCCTCAGCGGCAATGGCCCCACAAGAGAAGTCACACTAACATGGTTGTAGCCAGCTATCTGAAAGGGCTCTGCTGTTGGGGGCGGGAGTTAAATGGCACCCATCCCTGAGAGACTGACTCTGGACAGCACCTCTGTCCAAGCACGTTTGGATGGATGTGCGTTAGTCCCTTCAGGAAACAGGTGATGAGGTGCACCTCGTTCACAGTCTAGGCACAGGTAGCCCTTAGCAGCGAAAATGGGGGAGAGAAGGCAACCAGACCCTTTTCTACAAATAGTAGTGACTTATGGATTTATGTCAAGCAGAGGACTGAAATAGATGCAATGAGGGCATGATTTCTTCTTTCCAACACAAAGGTTCACAATTCTAGGATCTATGTGTATCTCCAAAGCCAAATGCACTGCCATTGAGTGGCTCTAACGGCTGCTCTTCTCTTCTTCCAGGTGTGTGAAAGACGAAACGTACCGATCCTACTCCCAGCCGGCCCCGGGCATTGCTCGCTTCCGATTCAGCTCCTTTCACTTCCTCAACCGCTTCCCCTCCGTGTACCTGCAGTGTCAGATGGTGGTGTGCAGGGCCTACGACTACTCCTCACGGTGCTATAGGGGTTGTGTGGTGAGGTCCAAGAGGGGCGTGGGCGCCTACCAGGAGAAGGTAGATGTCATCCTGGGCCCCATCCGGCTGCAGGCCCCAGAGAAGCGGAGTCTGGGTGAGTGGTTGCCCTCTGAGCCCACTGCCCACCAGGCCCAGCCCCATGAGCCCTAAAGGGGTTTGGAATGTCTCCACTGGTTTCCTGTTTCGACCCAAATTGCGTGCCCACTTGTGCTAGGCCTGGCCATGCAGAGTTGAATGAGACACGGGTCCCGTCTTCCCTGGGGGCTCTTGATCTGTGGGGCCATGTAGAGCGTTTGGTCAGGAGAGAGCTGTCCCGGGAGGCAGATGGCCCTGATGCCCTCACCCTGTGCACTCTGAACTCCCAGGACCTCACACTCCTCATCTATGTAATAAAAGGGCCAATACTTACCTCCAAGCACTGTTCAGCAGATTATATATTTCAAATTCTCACAGCCTCCAGACTTTCTGGAGCCACAAGGAATGGGTGAACCCCTGGGACTATTGCCCTGAGATCATCTTTAAAACTTAAACTAAAAACATCCTCTGAAGTCTCCTTAAAAACAAACAATAATTTGGCTAAACTAGTGAAAAGCTGTCTGCCCTCTATGGAGCATCTATGGCAGCGCTCTCTCCTGCACGCCCCGTATCAAGATGGTCCCCACATCCCCTTTCCTCACTGATTCACGCATTCAGTCATATTTACTGTAAGCCTAGTATGTGCGAAAAAGAACCCTACTGCCATTGAGTCCATTCCGACTCACAGCGCCCCTAGAGGACAGAGTAGAACTGCCCCTTAGGGTTTCCGAAGCTGAAGGAAGGTTGAGCATTCCTACTTCCGTAGTGAAACTGCCTCGGAAACCCAAGGAGGGGTCGCTATGAGTCGGGGCCGACCCAATGGCACATAACAACAACAACAACAAATCTTTACAGAAGCAGACTGCCTCATCTTTCTCCCACAGAGCAGATGGTAGGTTTGAACTGCTGACCTTTTGGTTAGCAACCAAATGCTTTAACCACTATGCCACCAGAGCTCCCTAACATGTGCTAGGGTGGTATGAATGGTTAACACACATGACTGCTACTGAAAGGTTGGCAGTTCAAATCCAGCTAGAGGCCCCTTGGAAGGAAGGCCTTGAGATCCACCTCTGAAAACCCAGCCATGGAAAACTCTCCGGAGCACAGTTCTCTGACACACATGCGGTCGCCGCGAATCAGAAGGCAACAGCCAGGCAGAGCCAGATACCACCCCTGCCCTCGCGGCGCTCACACTCCAGTGGGGAGGGAAAGCAGTGGCTGTGGGTCACCTCGCTTTACTGCGCTTCGCAGATGCAGATGTTGCGTGCTTTGCAAATTGAAGGTTTGTGGGAACGCTGCACGGAGCAAGTCCATCAGCCCTATTTCTGCCACAGCACATGCTCACTTCCTGTCTCTGTGTCCCATTTTGGCCATTCTCACAACATTTCCAACGTTTTCACATACCGCGGCACACTTAACAGACTTCAGTCTAGGGTGAATGGAACTTTGATACCCACTGGGAAACCAAACAAATCGTGTGACTTGCTTTACTGAGACGTCCACTTGTTGTGTTGTGGTCTGTAACCACACCTGGAATGTCTGCGAGGTTTGCCTGTAGGGTCGTGTGTCCCATGGGGTGGGAGCGCTGGAGGAGAAGGCAGCAGAAAAGCGGGACGGGGTGAAGGGGCAGATGGATAGTCCTCACTTCCCCCTCCTCCTACTTGCCCCACTGCCACAGTAGCCTGGCCCTGGGACCCCTTGCAATAGTTTCCCAACCAGCCTAAAATGCCTAAATCTCTCTCTCTTGTCATCCACATGGCACCACTGGGCCAGACTGGTTCTCTCAGAGACCAGCTCTGATGTTCAGCTCAGTAACCTCCCCTCCCCTCACAGCCATCTGGGGTCTTGCCTCAGTTTCCCCCTTGGGACGCCCCTCCCTCCATTACTTTTCCTCGTCTAGCCCCACTCACCAGACAAGTTCCCACCACTGTCCCCCTGACACTGGGGTACAACACTTACCCTGTGTCTCTCCCTGGCTCTTGCATCCCAATCCATTCCTGCAATCTCGTCTCCTCCCTAGACCTGTCCGTGGCTGGTGGCGACAAGCCAGTCAGCTCCCAGGGACACTATCCCAGCACAGCTGCCATTTCTGCGGGGGTCTTCTTGGTCGTGGTCCTGGTCGTGGCAGCCTTCATGCTGGGGAGGAGGGCACGCGCCACTGGTGGCCGACCTCTGAGCTATAAAATGTGAAGCCAGGAGGACACAGCGCTGGCTCTTGGACACTGGTCTCTGTGCTCGGACGCCGGAGGAAGGAAGGAAGAATTGAGCGTGCAGAACTTGGTGCCCCACAACACTCAAGCACATGGTGGGGAGGGCTGGGATGGGGTGAAGGGAGCTGGCAGCCAGGTTTTCCCAGACTCACAGGCCAGGTGCTAGGGCGAGAGGTCCCAGGTGAGCAAGTGCTAGCATCTCCAGTCCTCCACGCCATGGTGCGCCCAACCCTGTCAGCTTCAGGACTCTCTCTAGATGGGCTTTCTCTTCCAACCTTCGTGAACAAGCCTATAGAGTAAATCTGAGCTTTTTCTTCTTGGGGCAAACGGAATAAAGATGCTTTCTCAAAGCGGTGCTGATTTGGTCAGTGTGTCCCAGTGGGTCACCCAGCCTTCATGTTAGGCACACAGGGAGGGTGGGCTGTGGGAAGGAATGATAGAGACAGCAGGGGTGCTGCCCTGTGGCTTCTAGAACCTTCTAGGGAATAGAGACGCCATTCTCCCAGAGTCCGTGGGATGTTTTAATCCTGCCTGGAGCAGGAAATACAGGATGAAGGCGAGAGAAAGAGAAGGCTAACTGAGCCATCATTTTCAGTGTCCGTAATTTTAGATTAAAGATGACCACCTCCATTTCTCCCAGAACCCGTGTCTACTGGCTTTAGACATTATATCCAGACTGTGGGACAGGGAGGGTCTGGGAAAGAGCAGACTCCACGTGGCCCCTCAGGTGGGCCAGCACGAGGTCTGTTTACATGAGTTCTCCAGGGAGAAATGGGTCGACAGGTGGCCCCGAGAGCTCAAAAGGAACAAAGGGATGGGGTGGGTTCCAAGCAGGCAGTGAGTTTTCTGGGAGGAGGGAGAGAAGGCAGATCCTGGGGCCCTGGGTTAGGTACAGTGGGAATGGGAACTTTGGCAAGCTTTCCTGGCAATGCCAATGCTTGCCCCCTGAGTCAGTCTGAGGATCTAAGAGGGGGCCACTAAGATGAGCCAAACTCAGAGATTTTACTTGAGTGGGCGAGACTGGTGGGGCAGTGGAACCCCGGGGATGAGGGCATGGAGAATTCCCACAGAGAAGTGACTTAGGGCCTCAGTAAGACACGTTGAGCCACCATGGGGTATGAGGGAGCCCCTGAGTCCTGCCAGGGCCAGGGTCTCAGGGTCCCAGGGACTCCGCTGCCTTTGTGGATCAGAGTCATGGGGCTTTCCACTCTCCCTGTGGTCACCGCCCATATTCACTGTTGCCCTCCTAGGCTGGGGAAGTGAGGGAAAGCCTCCAGGGTCCCCTGTGACCACCAGGCTGCCCTGAGGAAAGCAACGAGGGAATGGAACGCAAGGACCTGGCCAGGGCCGGAGGGCTCCGGGCAGATGGGGAGAAGTGACAGTCTGGAGCTGGCGTTCAGAATTTGCAGTAGACATCGCAGGAGGAAAATACCACAACAGATAACCGAGAACTGCAACGAGGAGCAGAGTCCCGGGACCCAGAAATGGCCCTGAGTCCATTCATTCACTCATTCATTCAAATGGTGCTTGCTTCAAGCATTGGGCCCTGTGGGAGCAGAGAGGAGTCACAATGGCCCTCTGGTTATCAAGGGCAGGCTTGGCGCTCCTGACTCCCCTCTAGATCCTCTTTCACCTGAGGCTGGAAGCCAGGAACCAGGCACCTCTCACAGATCGACACTTGCTCTCGGCCACAGGCTTTTAGCTGCCCTCCATGGGAGGAGGCAATGGCCCTCTCCTCAGCCCAGGGCCGTGCTCCCGGCAGGTGCTCCATGGCTGTCTGTTCAAGGAACAGGTGTGCATGGGGCTAGGTGGGAACCGGGCTTCTCTCGCCCCAACCGGTTAGCGCGCAGTGGCTGTCAGCACCACCAGCTGGCACAGGGGGACCTGTGCATCTCAGGGGAAGAGGGTGCCACCAGATGGGCCGAACCAACATCCCCTGCAGGTGTGGAGGCAGGTAGACAGCGGCCAACAGGACGCTGGCAGGGCGGCAACTCTTGGGGCAGATGAGTCTGTGTGAGAGGAGACCCCGGCGGCAGGAGGCAGGCGGAGGCAGCAGGTGCGGCCCCTGGGGCAGGGAATGCCCAGGGCCACGGCTTTGGATGAGGCTGTGAGCAAGGCCGAACCCTGGGCATGCAGGACGCGGGCACCGACACGGCGGGTGTGGGGGTGCACTGTGGGGGCCGCGCCGCCCTCTGCACTTCTCCCCTCGACGCCGGGACTCCAGGACTTGCTCAGAGCTGCAGACCGCCTCCGGCTGTCAAGTGACCCTCCCTCAGTGGAATGACTGACACCCAGAGGCTACGCCCCAAGGGTCAGGGCACAGCAGGCTGGGTCGCATGGCATCTGTTCTGAGTTGTGCCACCTTTTCCCTTCTGGGAACAGAGCCGGACCTCAGTGCCCTCCCCCCAAGACCAGCCTCTCTGTCCACTCACCTTCCTGCCACTCCACTTGCAGACACTAGAGGGTGTGGGGCCCAAGCCCTGTGCCCTTTTGGGCCTGGTTGGTGGTGTTACGTGCAGACCCGACTCATAGCGACTCCTCCTTGGGTTTCTGAGGCAGTATCACTACGGAAGTAGTCTGCCCCATCTTCCTTCCAAGGAGTGGCTGGTGGGTTTGAACTGCCAGCTGTGGGTTCCTTTTAGGCGCCGGTAGTAATCTGTCCCAAGGAGCCCTGGTGGCACAACGGTTAAGAGCTCAGCTGCTAACGGAAAAGTTGGTGGTTCCAACTCAGCTCCCAGCGACCCACTGGCTCTGCAGGAGAGAGAGCTGGCAATCTGCTCCCTAAAGATTACTGCCTGGAAAACCCCGTGGGGCAGCTCTACTCTGTCGCCCGGGGTCACTGCCAGTCAAAAGCAATAGGTAGCATCCAACACCACCAGTCACGTAGGAAGCTGTTCCACAGCTTTTGCACTCAGCCGCTAAATGAAGGTTGGAGGTAGCTCGGCAGAAATGCTGGCAGGATACGTCTGACAAACCCGCCACAGAAACCCTGTGGGGCACAGTTCTAAGGTGACACACATGAGGAGCCAGGCACCAGCCTCCCTGCCTCCCGTGCCCCAGTAAATTTTAGCTATAATGAAGAACTCTTGTAAAAGCCTGGCACTGTCCTGCTTCCCTTTAAAGAAACCGAATTTTATCCTGGTCTCCAACAGTGCTATTACTCAGCTCCCTCTTCTCCCCGCCCGTACCCCAGGCTGCAGGCTGCCCAGGGACCCCTGGAGCCCCTGCCTCTCCCTGCTTGTCAAGGACCCTGCAGTGGTCAGCACAGAACCCTGCAGAAAGCGGGGACTCAGAGTCCTGATTCGATTTGCTGGCCTCCAGTGATTCCCAGCACACGCCAGTCAGGGTGGCTCCAGCCCAGGGCCGTTTGTTCCAGAGGCAGTGGCCTTGACCCCAGCGTCTTCCCTTGATGGATGATGTTTGGCCTGGGACCCACAGCATCAGTGTGCATGTGCTTGGAGAGGCTCCCTCTTCTTGCCCAGAGAGCCTGGTGGTATAATTTCCCAACACAGCACTGCCCACAGTTCACCAGGACAGGGACAAATGCACAGGGGGAGCTTGGCAGAAATCCCCACGGTCGCCACTTTGTTGAAATGTACTCATTACCTTTACATTGAGGGCCCTTGGTGGCGCAGTGGTTAAGCACTTGGCTGCAAACCAAACGCTTGGCAGTTTGAACTCGCCAGCCGTTTGGTGGGAGAGAGATGAGACAGTGTGCTCCTATGAAGATTTACAGCCATGGAAACCCTGTGGGGCAGGTCTGCTCTATCCTACAGGGTCACTGGGAGTGGGATTGACTGGATGGCAGTGGTAGTAGAGGTAACATTATACACCATGGGAAGCAGCTGGTTTCAGCCGGTTTGGTGGGTAGCATTACCTAGGCGAGGAGAGACCCCACAAGTGCCCCCAGGCTTTGATGTGAGCAGTGCCCACCTTAAACCCAGGTGGGCCATGGTGGTTGTGCCAGGTTGGCTCTGACTCTAGGGGCACAGCGGGGTAAAGGCACTCAGGTGCTGGTTTGGAACAGATCAAAGCGGTCACTCAGGATGTGGGGCTGTGGTGAGAAGACCCTATGGAGTGGCACCTAGTGGGTGGGTCAGAGCCTGGTGGCATGTGAAGGGCCCCCTTCCATGCCTCCCTGTGGGTCCCCTCAGGCTCTGTCCCCCCTGCCTCTAGAGCGAGGCAAATTCTGACCCAATCAGCTCTGCCTGTGGTTTGCAATGGCAGGAGCTGAGCCACCCATTCCCCTGAGGTGCTGAGTCATAGTGTGGAGACAGTGAGCTGCAGATGGTGGGTGCCGAGGAGGGAGCAGCACCACAGGGCTGCCCCCCAAAGGACTCCAGGAGATCCTGCACAGAGAGGGAGAACAATGTGGAGCAAAACTCAAAGTCATAAAAAAGGACCAGGTATGCTGGTCTGATAGAGCCTGGTGAGACCCCTGAGACTATGGTCCCTAGTTACCCTTCAGATCTAGAACTGAACTCACTCCTGTGGCTTCCAGGCAAACAATAGACAGGCATATGGGCTGAACATTGACATCACGTAGATACACTCCTTGGAGCTTGGGAAAACAGAAGGGCAGTGTTTGCACAGGGAGATAGCGGGGGGAGGGACAGGGGTGCATGGGAGGGAAGGACACAGGGAAGAGGTAACTATGGGGAGGAAGTGGGAAGAGAGATGACCTACAACAAATGTATGTTCATTTAACAGTTTGTTACACACTGAAAATTGCAATGAACATTTTTATCCTTAAGATACTTATAATTCAGTTGGGGGCCTGTTTTAATTCTTTAGTGCCATGCTAACAGAAGATACCACAAATGGGTAGCTTTAACAAACAGGAGTTTATTCTCTTGCAGTTTAGGAGGCTAGAAGTCCGAGTTCCAAGTGCCAGCTCTAGGGGGCGGGTGAAGGCCACTTGACCTTGGGCTTCAGCTCTCTCTACTTCTTGCTCCCAGCCTACTGAAGCTGGAGGCTTCTCTTAACTCATGCAGTTGCTGGCTACTGAAGCTGACAAACCTAAGGTTAACAAATAAAATGGTACAGTCCCAAGACTACCAAACAACACTGCAGGTCACCAGTTCAAGTCCAGAGACAGTCCCAAGATCGGCAGGAAACACAGTAGGCTGCTGAATGAAGACTCAGCTACATGCAGGGTCCAAATGTGCCAAAAAGCTCAAAGACTGTTCCCAATGCTTCTCCTTATATGCTGGAAGCAGATCACATCCCTAAGGCAGATGCACGTTGTTGTTGTTATTTGCCATCGAGTCAGCCCCGACTCATAGCGACCCCTCCTTGGGTTTCCGAGGCAGTATCACTACGGAAGTGGGAATGCCCAACCTTCCTTCCGAGGAGTGGCTGGTGGGTTTGAACCGCCAGCCTTCTGGTTAGCAGTCAAGTGCCTTAGGCACTATGCTACCAGAGCTCCTTAAGGCAGCTGCATAGGCAGAGCCTAAAGGGTGTGGCAATTATTGACCTCAGAGACCCTTGACACCTCTTTCTGACAAGCCCCCAAAAGTGTGCATATTCCAGCTGGGCCTGCCGTGTAGCGACACAGGTGACTGGTTGGGGATGATTGTGGATGCCCTGGCTGCATCGAAGAGGCGGGCAGCATAGTGATCGGGCTAGGAACGTGCCGGTTGCCTAGTGAGGAAGTGGGGAGCAGGGAGTGGATCTTTTTTACCTGTAAGCTTGGGCAGCCTCCTCCTGGATAGGGTTTTTACCCCACCTGGGCTGTAGGCTGGTTCCAGTCCAGGATCTCGGTAGCAGATTGATTGCAACAAGGATTCCAGCTGTTTCTTCCTCTCTCTGTCCCTGCCCTTTACAATATGATTTTGCAACTCCTCTCATCAAGAGATGAGATCCATCTCCTCACCACCTGGGCTGGCCTTTGACTTTCTTTAGCCAACTGTACGTAGCAGAAGTGATGGTACACCAGTTCCAAGCCTTAGCATCAAGAGACCTTGTAAACTTCTCCTCACTCTCTTAGACCCTGCAATGACTATACAAATAAGCCCAGGATGGCCTCCTGGAAGCCTGTGGCCCACGCACCCCCATCAACCTAGCTGATAGTCAACCAGAGAGCCACTTAACTGATCAGCACTTGGCTTCAGATATCTGAGGGAGTTTGGCTAGGACCAGAACCACCCCAGTGAGCCCAGCCTAAATTGCTAATGCAGAATCCTAAGCTAGATTAATGGTTGTTGTTTTAAGCCATTAAGTTTTGGGGCGATTTGTTTCACAACAACAGGTAACTGATCTAGGCTCCAATAGGAGTGGGACATGAAGGGGAGTCTGACATCCAGGGAAGCTCCAGGCTAAGGATGAGGGTGGGAGCTGAGAACCAAGAGTTGCGTAAAACCAGGAAATCTCAGTAGCTAGGTCTTACCCTGAGGAGCCCCGGAGGTCCAGCACAGGATGCCAAGATCCTAACAGAAGAGGGGCTGGGGAGAAGCCTGGATAGAGCTGGCAGGACTAGTGCGAACCAGGACGCTTGGTTAGCCTGGGCAATCAACACACTTTAATAATGGTGAGAAACAGCTTTGCGCCTGTGCTCATCCCAGATGCGCCGTCTTCTCAGGGGGCAGGCCTTCATCGCGTCACTGGGGCGGACTCCCCGCGATAAAAAATCTTGGTTCATTAGCATCAGATCTCCAGGGAATTCAGAAAAATGAAACAGGCACCTGTTCGTTGGGCCCGTGATGCACCGCTCCAGCTTCATCGTGGGGAGGAATGGTCTCCGTTCATTTATGTTACATACTAAGCTCTTTTTCTGTTCTTCTGACTTGAAAATGACATCCATTTTTATCTCATGTCTTTCTGTGGCTTTCCTCTCTGTCCCTTTCTCCTCCTGCTCGTTACTCGCACAATAACTCACGTCAAAGTCATTCCCCTCTTCTCTGGCCGTGTCTTTTGCCACAGGGCCCACGCCCGCTCCTGACCAAAATGAAGAGTTCCCAAACCTCTCCACGTTGGGTGAAACCTGCCTGTTTCTCAGGGCACGAGCAAACTGCATCCTGTCGATGTGCTTGCTGATGTTGGTCTTCTCTCGCTGTGGCATTTTAAACTTCTCTGGGGGCACAATCACCTTTGCCGTCCATATTTTTTCCAAGGGTCCACAGACAGGGCAAGGACATGAGTTTTGTCTTTTATATTCAATCACCCGTTTGTAGTCTGAGGACAGCAGCTGGAGCTCCTTGAGCATCTTCCGTTCTTCCTCTTGCTTAGAAGCCAAGAACTTTCTTGCTGCTATGGTGTGAACACCACCTAGACGCTGGCAATGGGAAGGAGATTGTTAAAGTTGCAATGACATAGGCGCAGTGGGCACCCACAGAAGAAATGGTTCTTGGCCAGTGCCCCCTCCATTGCCAAGTGTGTAGATCACCCATGCAGTGAGGAAAGAGGGTAGATCTTGGTTTCCCATTAAACTGTCTCAGTAACAAACTCTAGGCATTAACATCTCCCATCCTGGCCTATTGGCAGAGTAAGATCAAAGAATGGGGGTCGGTGGCTGTCAGAAGATTGGAAGACCAAGTGCTAACGAGCCAGCAGCCCAAGAAACTGCAGAGGGGGCGTCCAACAAGAAGAAAGGAAAGTCAGTCAGAATATTTAGCACAAGCCATCTTTTCCAGAATAACGGGGATCCGTTTTGCCAACACGATCTCTACTTCTTACCTACAATGGATTCAAAAGAATGTTCTTGACTTTGCAGGCTCACTGTGAGGCCTCAGCAAGACAGCGTATACAAGAGCAACCAGCGCATGGTTAGAGATCAAAGCGAAAGGCAGCTTCTGTCATTTGCTGTCACCAAGAGGATTTTTAAATAACAGACTTTATTGCTGTGCACGTGTGGAAACCACTCAGCCAGTATGAATCTCCTGGAGACTTCTCTGTCGACAGTGGTTTTGTAACTTCTGGCGCCCCCTAGCCTAATTGCCTGGAGTCAGTGGGGCCTTCCTAGGTGAAGACCTCAGGGCACTTACCAGGACCTCTTTTTCCAAGGGGGAGTATTTCCCTAGGGCAATGCGTGGGTCTGATTTGTAGAATTTAGTCCATATCCTGGAAGGCAGAGAGGCAGGTGCATTAGAAACGATTTCCTAGTTTTCCCACCTGGAGTGAGAAACCTCACAAAGGGTAATTCTACATCGGCCAGACTAAGACCACTGTGAACAGGGGTTTCTGCAGTCACAGGGCAGGCCACTCTACTTGGCTTCTTTGTGATAGGGATAGGGAGGAAAGAACCAGAAGTAGAGGTTACACTCACTCCAGTTGTGAAGCTGGGGAGAGGTCATCTTGGCAAAACGGATCCCTGTTATTCTGGAAAAGATGGTTTGTGCTAAGTATTCTGACTGACTTTCCTTTCTTCTTGTTGGACTCCCCCTCTGCAGTTTCTTGGGCTGCTGGCTCGTTAGCACTTGGTCTTCCACTCTTCTGAGAGCCATCGTCTCGCATTCTTTGATCGTATTCTGCCAATAGGCCAGGATGGGAGATGTTAATGCCTAGAGTTTGTTACTGAGACAGTTTAATGGGAAACCAAGGGGCAGTCACAAACATTTCTTGCATCATAACTGGCCTAGGTAGGGGCTATTGTGAGGTTTGAGTTTAAGGCATCAAATGATCCCCTAGGATAAAATGGACACGCAACACTACGCTCAAGAAGGAGAACCACTTAACTGACCCGCAGATGACGGCAGACTCATGACGCAGAATGGGCAGAGTGTGGCCAGCAAGTGATCTGACCGTGTCACCACCACTTCCAAACTCACAAGGGCTATTCAGATCTCATAGGATGGAGATTTAGCCTGCTCAAGTCTCTCTTTCATATTTGCCTGCCTCTCTAATCTTAGCCCCTCATTCTCCAACCATCCCATCCAACCTGCTTAATAACAATACTTGGCATAAGAGAGCTTCAGCTTTAGCTGAGCAAAACAAAAGGCTTAATGCAGAGGAATGATAAGGTTGACTTCCAACAGTGCTAATGTGATGTTAGGTTGAAAGGCAAGGAAAAGAAAAGCATCAGAAACAGAGTCCTGTCCTCAGGGAGGCCTGTCGGGACCACTGTTTGTAACGTGGTCCCATCCCCTGTCTTCTTCATCAAGTGCCATTTATTTCCTGCAAGCACTTCTAACAGCTGTTCTCAAGGTAGATCTTTAGCCTTTGCGTTGGTCTCACCCGGGGAGCTTCATACAATGCTGATGCCTGTGTCCCATCCCTAGAGATTCTGATGGAATAGGTCTGGGGATGGCCTGAGCATCGAGAGGCTTGGATGTTCGCTAGGTGATTCTAACCTGAAGGCCAAGTGGAGAACCACTGCCTTACGGCATCTGTAGTTACCATGTTTGCTGCTGTCTGGCTCCTCTGATTAGAGAGTAAGCTCCAACAGGCCTGGGAATTTGTTTGTATTGTTTATTGCTATTTCCCCAGACTCCAGCATGATCCCTGGCACATAACCTGTTGCCATGGAGTGGATTCCAACTCATAAAAACTCTATAGGACAGAGTGGCAATGCCCCATAGGGCTTGTAAGGCTGTCAGTCTTTATGGAGGCAAAGCCCAAACCCAACCCACTGCCTTCGAGTGGATTTGGACTCAAAGAGCCCCTAGAGGACAGAGTAGAACTGTCCCATAGGGTTTCCAAGGTGTAATCTTTATGGAAGCAGACTGCTTCATCTTTCTCCTGTGGAGAGGCTGTTGGGTTCAAACCACTGACCTTTCAGTTAGCAGCTGAGTGCATAACCACTGTACCATCAGGAGTCTTCTTCCCTGACACATAACCAAACCAAAAACAAACAAACTCATTGATGACGAATAGATTCGGACTTCGCAACCTTACAGAATAGAGTAGAACTGTCCCATAGGGTTTCCAAGGCTATAAATCTTTACAGAAGCAGACTGCCTCACCTTTCTTCCACGGAGCAGCTGATGGTTTCAAACTGCCAATCTTTTGGTTAGTAGC